CCACCACTGGTCCCCATGCCCACACAAGCTAATCCAGGACGCCCACCCGTGGCTACCAATTACCTGCGGGCAGATCTCCACACTCAGTTTTGATTTTAGCAACCAACAGAAATTCAGAAACACCCAGGAATACCTACAGTTTTCGTTTCTCTGGGTACTGCAGGGGAAATAATTTCTAAGTAAGAAACCCCTCCCAGGACAGCCCACCTTTCTTGATCATGGAATTGGCTTACCAGCACCTCAAAATTTGGAACAAAGGAGGATTTGGGGGTCTGAAATATTTAAATTTTATATCGATAGGCTGGAAGAAAGCAGACCGTCATCACTGATAAAACATCGCAGGTGGCACAAGGCCTGAAGAAAGGGTAAATAATTAAATGAAAAGGGGACTGGTACAGTGTGACCTGGTCGTTGGAAAGCTGGGGGCAAGCAAACATGCATGTCAATAGAGTCATCGATGAGCTCATTCATTTAAGAGCACTGAGGACAGACTACACGTACGTGGCAGAAGACTTTATCCTGCGAAGCAGAAAAAGGGAAAGAACAAACAGGCGATGGTGGGTCAGCAGCTGCTGAGATGCAGCCTGGTCAAAAACCCATGTCTCTGCAACCTCAGGTGTATAAAGAGGGAAAGCACGAGGACAGAAGCTAGCGGTCCTCCAGGGGAGGACTACTAGGATGATCAGAGGGCTGGAGCACCTCTCCTTTGAAGAAAGGTTGAGGGAACTGGGCTTGTTTAGCTTGGACACGAGAAGGCTCTGGGGAGACCTCACTGTGGCCTTCCAGTACTTGAAGGGAGCTTACAAACAGGAGGGGAACAGCTATTTATGTGCATGGATAGTGATAGGACAATGGGGAATGGTCTTAAAGTGAGACAAGGGAGGTTTAAGTTAGATATTAGGAGGAAGTTTTCCACACAGAGGGTGGTGATGCACTGAACAGGTTGCCCAAGGAGGCTGTGGATGCCCCATCCCTGGAGGCATTCAAGGCCAGGCTGGATGTGGCTCTGGGCAGCCTGGGCTGCTGGTTGGTTACCCTGCACATAGCATGGGGGTTGAAACCAGATGGTCATCATGGTCCTTTTCAACCCAGGTCATTCTGTGATTCTATGAAAAAGAGGTTCAAAGACTGTCCATTCTTCCCAATAACACTGGCTGATTTTCTACAAGATACTGTCTCTCTCAAATCTCTCTGAAATAATAAAAATGGTGGCTTTGGTTTTCCATAAGCACTTCACACAGATAGTGCAGCAGAAATCCCCCAGATTCCTCTCAAACCTTTTTATTGTCTCCCTGGTTTTATTTTTGCCTTCTGTAGTTCTCTATGTATGGCACAGAAGAGCTAAGGCTAATTTTCACAGAGATAAGACTTTCCACATACACTTCTTTCAAATCTGAGCAGAACCAGTTTGCTTTAATGACATCCACTCATCCAAACAGGCCCCTGGGCAGCCCGATCTAGTGGGTGGCAACCCTGCCCAGGGGAAGGGGGCTGGAACTGGATGGGCTTTAAGGTCCTTTCCAATCCACTCATTCGGTAGTATCCAAACTTTTTTGATTGTGCCCTTCAATCAGCGAAAAACATTTGAGCATGCACTCTATTATGTGTATATTTATTTAAAAAAAACATACACTCACTACTGTAATAATATATTATAAAACAAGCACAAAAATAGAAATTAAAAAGGAATCAAAAATATTTTTATTTAGTAATTGTACCAAAAAATTATTTTCTTCCCATACTCCACATTGGAGATTGTTGCTCCAGATTGGAAACTATTTCAGCCCATCTCGGTGTACTGGTTCAACTTCTGTTGGTAGGCACTCATCTGGTTTCCTCTGAGCCTGTCTCCACCATGGCTACAACATACTAAGGCAGTTTCAGTCAATCTTTTTTTATTGGCCTACAAATCTTTGTTCTTTACAAAAGGATTTTGAAGCACAATCATTTAGAAACTACTACACTTTCTTTTATGGCCAAATGAAGCTGTGTTCCTTCTCAGCATTTATTGTCATCAATGCTTTACTGATGCATACCTCACCTGATCTGAATTCCCGTGCTTACGTAAAAGCACTTTCTGTACATGTAGTTCTGCTGTGCATCTTTTACTCACTTTGCCATAGCACTAGAAGGCTACCATAACATGTGCCGCAGGCTTTACCCATCAGAGAACGGTTATGTGAAATGTTCTCCCTTGCTACTGCCAGAAAAACTGCTGAGGCTTTACAAGAGTAGGATTATATTTTAATTTGTCCTGCTGTACCTATCTAGCAGTTGCCTTCAGTAAAATGACCCCAGGAAGGTTTAAGAAAATGGTGCAAACACTGATGCAACATGCTTCACAAGTGCATTTTAGAAAAGCGGGACCATGAGAGCAGATGTGCCGAAGCAGGACAGACCACATGCATGGCCACAGATGCAGCACCTGTCACAAGTGTGCGATCACAAAAGCTTCAGGTTCATTCTCATGTTCAAAACAACTCAGCATCCGGCGGCTGCATGTTTCACATTGCCTCAATGGGACTATAGCAAAGGTTGGAAAAGATGAGTGCCTTGATTGGAGAAAAACACACCAAAGCCAAGCTGGAGGCTGCTGCTTCAGTAAAGCGTTTTGTCCCTGGAAACAGGCAGACTCATCTGGGGAGAAGTGGGAGAGGGAGGAAAGTACTGTAGACATCTACGGTAGGATGGGGGTGTAGTAGGAAGGGGGTGAGGAGAAGGTGTAGGCTGTCCTGGTGACAACATATTTTGCTGCGTTTCTGGGATCTTGGTGCATCATGTGCTCGGCTTTCTGAATTATCTGAGCAGCAAAGTTGCGAGGGGAGCTTCTTTGTGCTGAATGTTCATGAGAAGTTATCTCTCCTTCAGGGAAGTGAACTCTGGAAGAGGCAGACCCTGCATGAAGATAAGTTTCATGCAAATCATTCACACACACACACACACACAAAGTCAAGACTTACAGACAGTTACAGATGGCTTCATCATTCATGACACATCATAGTATCTTTGCAAATGCTCTGTCCGGATGAGGCAATGTCTGTAAAATGGAAGTCACAGCAACAGCCACAACTCTCTTCAGAGCATTCAGCAAATACAGAGCACACTCCAGAGAACAGAGCTGATCACATCCATTATTTTTTTTTTTTTTAAGTAAAATCACAGAATTGTTTGAGTTGGAAAGGACTCTTAAAAGTCATCTAGTCCAACTTCCCTGCAATGAACGGGGACATCTACAGCTGGACCAGGTTACCCAGAGCCCTATCCAGCCTGACCATGAATGTCTTCAGGGACAGAGCATCCACCAACTCCCTAGCCAACATGTTGCAGTGCCTCACCACCCTTACCATAAAAAAACTTCCTTATATCTAACCTAAATCTCTCCCTTTTTAGTTTCAAACCATTTCCCCTTGTCTCATCATAACAGATCCTGCTGAAGGGTTTCTCCTCTTTTTTCTTATATCTCTCCTTTACAGCAAAGTGAGGAACTACAAGCACAAGCTTAGATGACATGCATACACTTAATTCTATGGTTTCATTAAATTTCTTTAGAAGTCTTTTTTTTTTTTTTTTTTTTTTTTTGAGTACCATGAGATTAAGAGAGGGTGGAGTCAATTTCAAGGAGCGCACAGAGATGTGAGGTGGAGGGAGAGAAGTTTATGCCTAATGTATAAATCTTGCGACTGCATGTAAGATGCTCGGCATCTAAGTGCAGAGTAGAATAACAGATGCCCATGACTGCAAGTGAGGAAAAGCTATTATATACAGACTGAAAGGTTCAACTTATCTTCTACTCCAGCACAGATAAAAAGAAAATGTCTCTACCGTATCACTTCTCAGATCTTCTTGGAATTATAAAACTGAAGCACATTTCTCAATGTAGAAATAAGTAAAGATGATTACAAAAGCACCTCTGCAATGAATCTATCAAGAATCATTTCTGTAAACTGCAAGACATTTGGGCACTTTTATATAACCCCAGTTGAAAAGTAGGTGTATCTTTTGTTATCTTCAGATGCTTGGCAAATGGCTAAAAGACAACTTTTAGCCTGTTCAGGTTTACAGTTCCGCATAGGGTTACAGGATACAAATGGATAATGTAAGCCAGTCTCTTTTTATACACCCTGATCTTTTCTCACAGAGGCCTCTATGGGTGAACAACACTCAGATAATTAAATCCTTACTGAAAAACCATCAGCGAGAGTTCATTAGTGCCCCACTGATGGTGTATATAACTGGCTGTTGTACATACTTGGTTCTTTATTAATCATCAGCATATAGAGGCGTGCGAGTGCCTGTCTAAATATCTCTCGATCTGACAACCTTGCATGTAGCAGCAGCTGGCTGCTTGTCCAGGCACCTGGAAGTCTAACAAGAATTCAGCACACTGGAGCACATAACCTCAGCACTGGCAAAGTGATCCTGAGGGCATCCACAGTGCACTGGATGAGACTGATTTGCTCTGTGTGACTGAGTTGCTTTCAGCCTATATGGAGACGTGTGCATGTAAGTGGATGTGGCCTACACGCCTGGACAGCTCTCCAGGAAGCAGTTTGCTCAAAGTTTGAAAATCCCAAAGACACGACAGGTCTGTGAACATGCAGGTGGGAGGGGAAGGAGAAATTGAACTGATGTGCAGAAGAGAGAAAGGATGATGTAGACCAGAAGATGTTTGAAATTAGCACACACTAACAAAGTCGTGATAAATTCAGTACTTGAAAAAGGGAGAATTTTCATTTGCGTTTTGCAACGCTGAGAGCTGACTGTATGGTAAGGCAAAGTTGGACTAGTGGGTGAAACTGTGAATGAAAGATGGAGAAAACTGGGGCTTTTTGGAAAAGAACGCCATAGCTAAGAATGGCTCAAAGATGTGGGGGCTTCACAGGCAGGAGGAGCAGGACCATGCCACCGAAATGCAGAAGAAATCATGGCACATCAACAAACTGTCCTCTAAATATCAAACAGATTGGTAAATCTGAGTGTGGGAGTGCCCAGGTGGGAGATCTGGGGGGCTGAGGGACAGGAGGGGGCACTGGCAGGGCAGCGTGAGCCAGGGACGGATACCGAACAAGTACAGGAGACCACAGGTTTAAATATTTTTGCCTAAGCACATTCATATGACAGAATTACTCTCAACAGAGAACAATCATAAATGAATAAAGAAAATATAAATGCCTCCAAGCCTCAGAAAAGCTGAGCTTGCAAAGAAAGATGAAGAAAGTAGAGTCCAAATTCACCACTCCCTGATTTCTTCTGAGCTGGTATAATTTCTAACCTGCAGACAAGTAATATCCTGTCCTAAAAATGTAAAACTTCAGAATCTTGAAAACAACTTTCCTTCCCCCAAAATAAAAGCAAAACCCAAACCCAGATTGCTTCTACAAGCAAATATAAAATACAGATAAAATCAGATCTAACTTTAAAAAAGCAGCAGCTCCTTGTTCTGAAGATGGGGTTTTGACTAATCAGAGATGCTCATCGCTTGTCTGTTTCCTACACGATTGGCTAAAAGGGTAAGAATTACACCCCAAAACCACTTTTCTCCTCCTCCCCCACTCCTCCCCCCTTACATGCTAGCATGTTTTTAAAGAAGACCACGAGGGGAAGGGAAGAGGGGAGCTCAGAGCCTTCATCAGCCTCAAGATGAGGACAGCTGGGCCAGAAATGGATCTCATTCAGCTTTCGCCTGTGACTACGGTCACTTTCAACTATGATGACTACTACTACGAGGACAGCTGCCAGTACGAGCAGCTACAGCATATGACTGCTTTCCTCCCTGTCCTGCCTGTCCTGTATGCTGCTGTGTTCTTGGTGGGCATTCTTGGCAACTCCATCCTGATCGTAGCCTTAGTCTTCAAGCGACGGGTCCAGAGGCTGATTGACGTCTTCATCATTAACCTTGCTGCTTCAGACTTCATCTTCCTCATCACGCTGCCATTCTGGGTGGACAAGGAGGCATCAGATGGGATATGGAGGGTAGGATCTTTCCTCTGTAAAGCTAGTTCTTACATCATCTCAGTCAACATGTACTGCAGCATCCTCCTCCTCACTTGTATGAGTGCAGACCGGTACCTTGCCATCATGTATCCCTCCATTGCTAGAAGGGTCCGAACCAGATCCTATTCCAGTGGACTTTGCTTCTGCGTCTGGCTGTTATCCTGCTGCTTAGGGATACCAACCCTTTTGTCCAGAGAACTGAATGAGCGCTACGGCAAGATGTACTGCACAGACAAAGACGTGACAGAATCCAAACAGATCACATCACTGATGATTTTAATCCTGGCCTTCTTCTTCCCGCTGTTGAGCATTCTGACCTTCTACTGCTCCATCACAAAGAGACTCTGTGTCCATTACCAGAGATCTGGGAAACACGACAAGAAGCTGAGAAAATCTATCAAGATCGTCTTCATTGTGGTGGCTGCTTTTGTCATCTCTTGGGTGCCCTTCAACCTCTTCAAGCTTATGGCCATCCTGTTGGGACTGCAGAAGCTGCCTGACTGTTTCCTTGACACGGTTGCCCAGGTGGGCATGACGGTGAGCAGCCCCTTTGCCTTTGCCAACAGTTGTGCCAACCCTTTCATTTATTACTGCTTTGACAATTACATCCGCAGAGCCATGCTCAGGTGCCTGTGTCCATGGGTGAAAGCCAGCAGTGGCAGCACCACCTCCGACACCTTGGACACTCGCCTGAGCCACTCCTTATCCAATTTCATCGCAGGGGAGTACACTGCAAGGAAGAGGAAGCGCTCCGTGTCCCTGTGACTGGGAGCCAGGACCACAGAGGAAGGGACCTCTCTTTCCAAAGGTGGCAGGGAAAGAATAAAGCAAGAAAAGGGGCAAAAAAGAAATAAGCGGCACAAGCAGAGCTGCAACTGTAGTGCAGCCAGCACTTCAGGCTGGTGGTACAGCACTTCCCTTTAAACTCAGGTATATTGAATAGGAAACTTTAACCACAGAGCTACAGTTCACAGAGATCACTGTGTCACTGCGCAGCACAAGCCTGAAACTGCTGTGCTGAGAGACATCCACCTAGGCTGCTGCTGGAACTGCAGCCTGGGTGCTACCAGCTGAGAGCAAAGTCAGGCCATCAGCCAAAGCCGCCCCCAAGCAATCTCTGAACTTAAACACGTAGGTTTTCATTCTGCTCAGAGCAAGACAAAGCAACAGAAGTACTTCTTCTCTCTGGTTCCTAGCTTACTTGCAAAAATACTGCAATGTCCTGTAAAAAAACCCTGACGAATTCTCCTTTTTTGGAGGTTTTCTGTATTTAGAAATGCAATGTTTTAATGAATTTGTGTTACTTGCTCTTGTAACTTGAGTCTTGTGCATTTTTCTTGAAGTTTCACCTTCTTGATTAAGAGATTAAATATGTTTTAATCAAAGGAATTCAAGTCAGTTACTAGACCCTGTGGTTTCCAAAAGCAAAAAAAAAAAAAAAAAAGAGACAGCTTGAAGGCAGAGAAACCAGAAACAAGCAAAAGAAACTGCATTTAAACCATTTGTTAACAGCAAACAACCAAAAAATAAGAAAATAAGAGAACACCTTCGCACTTTTTAAGATGGTTTGGGGGATTGTGATACAATTTCTGGTTGCTTGGCTTGTCTAATGCTACAACATTCTGGGTCATTCAAAGTGTACGTTTGCTTTCTTTAGGTGCAATCACTTCATGTTAAGATGCAAGCAAAGTCGAATGCAAACATGCCTGAAAAGCAAAATGAGCCAAAGTTTCACAAACGTTTGACTGAAACAGAGAATGCTGAGAAACCTTGGGTGCAGGAGCACTCACAGAAAAGGAATTCTGTGAGAAAAGTAAAACTGTTTAAATTCATTGGTGGAGTTAAGCTCCATAAATAATGAATAATAATTAAAGCTCTGTGAAATTGTCTCCTCCCTGTCCATCAATCTCTGGGAAATGTAGAAATCTTACATTTCATACACCGTAGAGGAGATACCGCTAGCCCAACTGGTATTAACTCTGACAGTAAATGGGATGGGGAAACAGAGAAAGCTCCCTATTTTTAACAGCTATAATACCTCTTAGAATTACAAACTGAACAAATAAGGAGTTAAGCAGCTCATTAGAAAACTGGTGCGAGACTTCTGCTTCTAAATGCTAATGATAGAAATGTGTGCTTAAAAGAAAAAAAACAGAGTGCAATGTTTTAAGGTGCCCAGTTGAAATAAGCATTAGACTTGTAACAGTGCTGACACCTCAGGTATGTTGCAACATCTCAGATTCTGTTGTGCCTTTTGTAAAATGTTTAGCTTAATATATTACTGCTTGTCATATTGTAATAAAACAATAGCATAAAGCATCCAGATTGTGTTACGTGATAGAGTAAAAAAAAAGTTAGAAAATGTCCTTCTGCATTTCCTGATTTTTCAAGATTTCTATTTCTCTTTTTTTGCATTTAGCCCTTAAAGCTTTTGAACGAGCTCGCACAAAACCCACAAAAAGTCTTGACTTCAGTGGCAGAAGTCATCACAATGTGATAAAATAACATAAGTGGAAACAAATCTTGAACTGCAGTAAGTAAAAGATCTTTAATGATACTTACAGGCCTGTAAGATCTGATAAGATAAGAATGTATAAAATCACATTCAACTCTGACAATGAGAAAGAAAAAAGCTCAGCAAATATATATCTTCAGGTCTACTTTTTAACAATAAGCTGGTACTTCCACACAATGCTATAGAGTGAACCCCTCCCCATTTTACCAGGCAGAAGTTTGAAGCTAAAACTACTGTCTCAATTGGCTCCTCTCAACAATCCATTTTACTCCCTCTACTTTACTATTACGTAATGAATGGCTTATTTTTTTGTAATTGTTAGAAAGGAAGAAAAGGAAGAAAAGGAAGAAAGGAAAGAGAGGAAAGAGAGGAAGAAAGGAAGGAATAAAAGAAAGAAAAGAAAGAAAAGAAAGGAAGGAAGAAAAGAAAGAAAAGAAAGAAAAGAAAGAAAAGAAAGGAAGAAAGGAAGGAAGAAAAGAAAGAAAAGAAAGAAAAGGAAGAAAGGAAGGAAGAAAAGAAAGAAAAAGAAAAGAAAGAAAACAAAGGAAGGAAGAAAGGAAGAAAGGAAGAAAGGAAGAAAGGAAGAAAGGAAGAAAGGAAGGAAGAAAGGAAGAAAGAAAGGAAGAAAGAAAGGAAGAAAGAAAGGAAGAAAGGAAGAAAGAAAGGAAGAAAGAAAGGAAGAAAGAAAGGAAGAAAGGAAGAAAGGAAGAAAGGAAGAAAGGAAGAAAGGAAGAAAGGAAGAAAGGAAGAAAGGAAGAAAGAAAGAAAGAAAGAAAGAAAGAAAGAAAGAAAGAAAGAAAGAAAGAAAGAAAGAAAGAAAGAAAGAAAGAAAGAAAGAAAGAAAGAAAGAAAGAAAGAAAGAAAGAAAGAAAGAAAGAAAGAAAGAAAGAGAAAAATCTGTGAGTTGCATTTCAAATACTTTGTGATCCTTATTACTGAAAAAAATCACTCTCTTGTTTTTGAAGAGTGTTTCCTCAGTAAATCAGACTCAAGTTTCCATACTAGCCCCGGGGAGAAAAATAAAAGCCAAATTAACTTGCTACATATTGCAAAGCTTGAAGAAAATCACCACAGCAAATGTTTCATACAAAGGAAAAATAGTATAAAGGAAGCAACTAATTAAACAAAGCAATGTAACAGACTGTGTGTTTCATCCATACTACAAGAGCCTGATGACTGCAGGGTCCTTCACGGTGTGTTATGGAAGTGATGCAACTCTAACATGCCACTTGCCTTGCTAAGTAATTTGGACTTGTTAAAGTAAATCTGAGATAACTACATCTAGCAAATGTAGATTTTGCTCGTCTTTTTTTGTCTGTTTTTATCTAGGTTTTCCGTTCATTGTCATGAAAATGGAGCAAGCATTACTAGAAAAACTGTCTGCAGATCTGTGTGGGAACATGTACATCTGCCTATCCCACAAAGCTTTTCATGATTTCAGAGATATTTTTGTAGTGCCTTGGAATGAAATCAAGACCTTTGAGGTTTTGCATGAAAACGACTACAAACAAAATAAACAATCTAGAGGTTAGTGCTCTTTCCTGAGATGTACACAATTAAAGTTCAAGTGCTTCTATTCTTGATATAAGATAAATACCTACTCAGATGGAACTGTTGGTCTCCGTTCTAGCTTCAATGAATCAGCATTCAATGAATTTTGTATCTTAACACAAAGGAAAATTGTATCCAGAAACAATGTCTGTTTAAAAGGGCAAGGAATTTAAGCAGCCTTCATCTCAGCAGTGGATGTGCCAACATGAACTGCTGCACAAAGACACTGATACATCCAAAAAAAATGTGCTGATTGCTGCACAGGAACTGTGCATAAAACTCATAAAAAGGAGTTTTTATGAGTGTTAGTAAAGTGTGTAGGACAAAGGTGCCAGCTCATGAATGGGGCCACTTACATGCATTTTCAGGAGTTACATATTGCTGGAATATCAATTTGTTATCCTTGGATGATTATTTATAATCATGAGGTCAACAGAGATTTGTGAGTAGATCTGCAGGCAGTCAACACAAATCATTACATGCTCCAAAATTTCTGACTGAAAAATGATTTCAGATCTTCCCATCTTTAAAAGGTTTCACCCAGTTAAGGACCTTATTAGATAAAGGCCTGGCAAATGAAGAACAGGAAGAAGTTACCACAAATGGCTTAAAGCCAGTTTTACAAGGGCAAATAGATCTACACAGACATGTTACCAAATATGTCAGCATTCTGCATGCAGTCAAAGAAACCATTCACAGGAATGAGGAAAGAGCTATCTAATTGATGATCAATGGAAACATGCACTGACAATGTATTATGGACTCACATAATTACTTGTGTTACCTAATGTCACCTACAGGGGTTGCTCTGTAAGACCATAAACAGCCCATATGACCTAATACAACATTTTAATATTTTACCATAAAACCTGCAATTAGTGCATTCTAGGTTTCAGTAACAACCCTGTTACTGAAAGCACCTGCACAGTTTCCAGATATGGATCTTCAGCATCCTGCTGGAGTCCTGCTGCAAGTGACAGGAAATTTAGGAGAGCCCTCTAAAGGAACTGAGTACTCTATGCTCAAAAAAAACCCAAACAACAGAGGGAATCTGGCCCCAAACATGTGGATGTCTAAGATGGGAGTTAATAATAAAGTAAAAGAGCATGAAATATGGGAGATGAGAAAGTGGATTGTGGGTACCAACAGCCTTCAAGAACAGCCTTCCACACATTACTCAGTAGAGAAGCCTTAGCAAAAGTCAGGCTGGTTGTTATTTATTTTTAAATATGAATGGAATGGTATGTTTTCTTTTCCAAATTTACTGCTTCTGCATTTTTGTAACAAATTACAGCAGCTTTGGAAGTAAAGGCTACATGTTATGATTGAGAACACGCAACATTACCAGTATCAGTCATCTGCATTACAACCAAAATACATCCTTTCAAACTTCAAAACAGTTTCCTTATTAGTAAGAGATTGTATTCTTAGTCAGAAGCTCCCACTATGTCTAGTTAGTGAACTTACCTCCCCCCCACTGCTTGCTTGTCACATTTTCTAAAGCTCACGGAATTCTACACGAGGCATTCCAATAACGGATCTCAGAAGAGACCGATGATTCTCCAGAATTTTGGACTGCATTTTGCTGCTTTGTGCACTGGAGTAGGGCACAGGGTAGGTAAGGCAGGAATCTGTGTTCAAAGAAAACGCTTCCCACAAAGCGATAGTGACATCTGAGGCTTTCATTTGAGGATGCCTAGCTTCAGATCCTCTGCAAAGCAATGATTTTCAGTACGCACTGAGTACCCACAGCTGCCACTTGAAGGATGCCCTTTCTTTTACCCTCAGTTTGAGGCAAAGCAAATCAGATTGTGAAACTGTGTGGCACTTTGCTCAGAGAACGAAACTTAGACAGCGGCTTTTAAAATCGGTACGCAAAATAACCAGAAAGAGCTAAAATGCAAAGAGCATCTTTTCCACTGAGGAAGCACATGTATAAGTAAATACTCAGTAATTATTTAACTTACATAGCAGCATGCACCTGACGTGACCACTCTCTTGACTTCTCCATGTGCTGCCTAAACACCTGCATGACCACACGCCCTGAGCCATCACCACCCATTTCCCCTGTAACCTACTCCTCACCCTCCCTCCCCTGGGAACCACAGAAACACTTACCCACGCCTCACACACAGCAAAACAGTTACACCACAAAAAAAGAAATAGAAAAAAAATCATTAACAAAAAGAAAGGCAGAGGGAAGGGAAGGAATAAGGGAAGGGAAGCAGGAATGAAATTTGCTATAAGAAGATGCCCATGAGAAACTAAGCTGCATATGAGGACATGTCAGAACAGAGCCCCTGCACAGAAGAGGGAAAAGATTTAGCATGAGGAAGGTAAAGAATAAAGCTGCAATAACCCTTATAATCCAACAGTTTCCAGGGCCCAAGCTTTGACAGAGTGAAGTGATGGTGACGCGGCACACTCACATTTGTGCAGTTACTTCAGAAATCCTTGCTGAAAGATGATGGAACCCTCCCACTATTCTAATTTTTAAGACCTTGTGCAACTTGACTAACGATGCTTATATGTCCCTACCTCCACTGCCACCTAAATAAATGTCAATGAAAGTTGGTGGGGAAACTCCCTTTTTCACTGAAATCATCCGGAGTTTTGTATGGCTAACTTCAGAATAGCCGAGGTTTGGCTGAGTGATAAGACTGAAAGCCTGACTCCACAGACTACGCAAACTTAGCAGAGATCTCAGCAGGATCAGCATGCCCTCTTTCAGAGTTCATGCGAGTGATTCATCTCCAGACAGTCCAAGGACCCACAAAGTTCCTAAAATTACATGGTCCTAAAGATCCATATAGATAAGAGCATCTCAGTAGATGCTCCCTGCTGTGCTGCCGGGCTTCCTGACACCATCAGGGGCACCTTCCTTAAATTGCCTTTCAGCTGCTTGGTTAAGACATAGGGCAACATCATGGCATTTAGGCACAATTTAGCTCTCTGCTGAGGTATGTATACTGTAGGCACCCAAAATCAGCTCAGGTTTCCAAGCTGCCATGTGGCTACCACAGCTCTGGCAGCACCAAAGCCAGTGCATCACACAGAGAAACACCTTTGGTCTGTGCGTTTGCTTTGTGTGTTTCAAAGCTGAGTCTCCTTTCTTGTGATGTCCTGGGACAGTGCTCACTTCAGCCAGACTTGAAAGCCAGAGATGGAGAGTAAAGCTAAGCAGCTTAAAAAAAACCCAAACACTAAAATCTGTATTTGCCATAAGACTTGATAGAAAAGCGTGTACCCTAAACTGGGTCTTGTGAAAAGGTCCAGGGGAAGTGAAAAAGGAAGACTACAATAAAAACAGGATTTCCAAAACACTGCACATAGAGAACAAGGACCAAAGTATATATTTTCAATCTTATAATTAAACTAAAACAGCAACAGCAAGCAGCTACCCATTCATCTTGCTCGGAATCCAGCCTTTGTGTGGCACTGCATACAGTTTTATGAGATCGAAACCAAAGCATGGCCTCCTGCCCCACAGTGGGTAGGGTTTGTTTAGTGTGTGAGACACAGGTGGAGCAGAGGTGACAGATGTGGAGAAGGGCTCTTGTCGGCTGACAGAACAACACATGACACATGGCCTTCCTTTTATTTTAACTGTGCACTCTGACTCACGCTTTAAGGCAACTGGCATTACCAGTGCAGCACAGCCAGAGGGGACCTCAGGGAGTCATTTCTATCACCAGCAAATACATGTCAACTATCTTTGACATGTATCTGTCAAAAAACATAAGCGTAGGCCATCATTTCTCCTCAGAAATTCCATTAAATGTATCAAAAGTCATGAGCTCCTGTACAAATCTGTTGGGAGGATTCCTTTCACTGCTCTTCAACTCAATGGTTTACCCCCCAGCCACATGTT